AGGAAGGGGGTAGCTTACAGCACTTTCCTTGATCAACAAGTTTTAATGCTCTATCAGCATCCTCTGCTTGCTCAGAGCAAGCAGCATATCAATTAGAGGCAAGGATTCTTCCAGGACATCTCAAATGCTTCCTGTAACAGGCAGAAGAAAATCCTGCAGCATCCAGTTCTGCACATCGAACTGCCCCTGGCACTGAACCAAACGTCAAGTGCTAATCCATGAGAAGCCTAGCACAATTACGGCCTAGGAGATGGTGACCTTCTTACAGCCTTGGCTGGGACCCATCAGACCCATTAGAGCCCTGTGTTTTGCCTTCTACCCCAAACAAATGCTGTGGGACTATTGCTGAGGTAAAGGGAAAGGTCAAACCTTTGGCATTGGAGCAGACCAGTCACTGGCTGTGCGTAGGGGGAATTAAGGCTTCAAGGTGAGGTAAACACAGTGAGAGTCAGTGTGTAAATCATGCTGCATTTCAGACACGACAGGTTCAAACGACAGCTAGTCTTGTTCTCTACATTTTAAACACCAAAGAAAGATTCGAAAGCAGAACTGGAGGCAAGTCTGCTGAGGGCCACCTTGAGATGCCTCTCTGCCCCTCGGGAACAAATGTAACCCAGATGTTGAACGTTGACGAGAATGTACCCAACAAGGAGGAAAAAGCACCAAAGTTGATGAGTCCTTGAGACGATAAGCTGCTTAAAAAACAAAGAAGCCCTATACTGCTATGACCTCCCATAAACATAGTGGTTTCCTGACACAAAGGTAATCTACACTCCAGCCATTCTCAGTGCTGTACTTCCAGCACTACAATTAGGAAGAGCTATGCTCTAGGAAGGAAGCAGTGAAATCATTAGGCTTGTGTTCCCTGAAGACAGTTTCTCCCATTCATTAGGCGTTGTCCCATTCCCCTCCACCCACCCCTGAGTCTTGAATCCAAAGACCAGAAATGCCTGTCATTTCCCCAGGTCATTTTTTTAAAACACTCTGATGTTATTTTAACAGGTTTGTAGGGTACAGACACTGTGCTTCTTTGCATCCATCATTTTGGCAATGCCTTTGCCCTCTTCAAAAGAAAAGTGTTTTCAAACAAGTGGTACAAAAGTTACTTTGAAACTAAATGAAATACAGAAATCAATGCAATTCTTCTATATGCTTACTTTTCATAATGTTTCTGCTAGTTATCTGAAGTACGGAACTATTTGCTTATTTGGAACCATTGCGTGTGCAACGCTATTTCTTACAAGCTGTGCTAGCAAGGTTTCGGTTGAAAACAGCAATCTGGTCCTGCAGGTTCCATTTCTAGGATATGAAGACTCTCATTTGTTTTTCTTTAACACATGTATGGTAACTTCTCCCACCCTCTCAATACAGTAGCTACTAAAAATCTTAACAGATATTAAAAAAATATCCAAATGAAACCACACTTCTATCACTGTTTAAAAAAACAGAAACACATACGGTATTACAAAAGTTTATACAAAGGCAACATTTAAGAGTTTGAAAGTTACTTCTAGAAAAAGACACAAATGCTAGTAAATTAACATACAAGGAGAAAGATACTCCATCACTTCTTCAAAATTTGTTTGATCTATTTTGAAGTATCTTTTACCAGTTGTCTAGAAAATCAAAGCCAGTCTTCAAGATAACATTGCTTGTACTAGTCTGCAAAGGAAAAAAAAAGAAATAAGATGTGGTTGCTAATTATGGTATTACAAACTCAGTACTTGGCTGCCTATCTACAAAAGAAAGTTTAAAATGTTGTCTGCCAATATTTCAAGTTCTTCAACTTGCTCTAGGATACCTAAGAACCTACACCAGGAAATGCTAGACATGGAAAAATACTCACAATGATCAAAAAGGCAATTCCAGATAAAAATAAAATTCTTGTAGTGGTCTGCAGGCAAAATGTTATTCCCCCACCCCCCATGGAAAAATTCATAAAGATCAATTTGTAGACTAGAGCAGGAATTGCAAAGGATGAAACAAACACAGAACGCAAGCATCGCTAATTCAATGGATTGCCTGTCACAATGAAAGACAGTTGTTTCCAGAAAACTACACAGTTTAAACTTTGTTGACAAGTTATTTACTGGGCTATCAAGAACACGCTGACTCCTGCAGTGCTGCACTTTCAGCCATGACATTTAAAGTGGTTTTAGTGTTTAGGAAGACTATTCAAGGGACACGGCCGAGTCTCCAGACTCTCTTCCTAGAGCATGGCTCTCTTCCCCAGAACAGGGAAGATAATTCAGAAAAGAGGAAACGAAGAAAATTCTGTCATACTATCTTCTCTGCTACTCTGTTGACGTTTTCACATGGGAGGACTGTTTCTCCACAGAGAGAAAAATCAGGCTTTTCAAACTATTTCAGTTAGCTAGAAGACATTCACAAAGGAATTAAAACTGTAACAAATCATTAATTTGTAGGAAAACATGATAAAGCCTTTAACTAAAATTAAAGGACTACCACAGTCACAATTTGTAGCAAAACAGCTCAAGAAGCATTATCTTTCAGCCTCAGATAAAAATAACTAAACATAGGGCTCCAAATACTGAAGTGGCTTAAGTATTGTTTTCTCCTAAGTGCTGCTGCTTACTTCTCTTGCAAGTATTTACCTCATCCTGCATCTTTCTGACCTTACATCATCTTGTTTGGAATTTAAACTCTCACTGTTGGGAAATATGGTAGAGAAAAAGCTATGCGACATGCTGAAGGTATACAGTAATGTGTCAGGCTTATGCCAGAGTGATGCTACAGATTCCAAACAGAATGGCATAGCTCTGTTTGAAGAACCACTCCTCTTCTCTGCTTCACAGTTCTCAGGCTTCAGATCTCTTCCTTTTCTTTCCCTCACCGTGTCATACCCTGTTGTTCCCTCTCTTTTCTCGCAGATCAGTGCCTCCTTTTTAAATAGCTTCAATTGGCTACTGAGCTGCTTAAGGTTATTTTTTTTGTTGGGTTGTTTGGGTTTTTTTACATTAAAAAAAACAAACCCAAACATTGAGAAGGCTAATTCTGGAAGCTCATTCCATTTCCATTTTGGACTTCAAGAGAAAACACATTTGAAAGCAGCCCAGCTGCCTGGGAGAAAGCACTGGGAAGTGGCTGTTGGGCTACCACTCAAAACAGCTGAGAAACCAGTTCACCATTCACCACTATGCTGTGTGTACCAATAAAGGATCCTAGACTCTAGTTAATCTACTTTTCAAGTTAAAAAACCTTCTTTCTTCTGTTAAGTGTTTTGCTGTTTCAAGAAAAAAACCACACACTCTACTCTCTTACTTCATACAGTAAACTCTTAACCCCAAACTGTTAGGTGGCTTGCTGTCAGTTAGCCAGGATGCCATGTCAGCATTTCTGGTATTATATTTAAACGATGCCTTTATCCTATGCATTTTACTATGTTAAAAAATACTTGATTGAAACAAACAATAGCAGTTAATGTGTTGGTTAAATGGGCTTCTTGAAATTTGCAGGGTAAAAAGCCAGCAAGTTTAGCTATGCTTAATGCTTTATGGAGTCCCTAATCTTCTAGAGTGGCTTTTTCAGGTTTTAACGTACCATCCATTTTTTAAATCTAAGGACAGTGGATATGCAGTCCTTACCTGTCCAGGCATTTGTGGATCTGTAAGTGTAGTACCATCAGTATCTTCCTTGTTTGTCCTAGAAGGTGCCAGGTCCTGTGGTGGGTCAGGAAGAAAGAAGTCATCTAGAGAACTAGCGGGGAGTTGAGTGGGTCGAGGTTTCTCCCATTCGAGAGATACAGAAGGTAGGCTGGGGACCACAGACTTCTCTGGTTTAGCTATGCTGGGCTTCTCAGCTTTTGCCATCTCCTTTGGAGTAGACTCCTGTCTGTAAAAAGAGGGAAGGGGTTTCTCTCCTTTCTCCATGGACTTGATCTGGCTGGGGGTCAGGGACTGGAACTCAGACTTGTCTCCTTCAAACTTTGAGCGCTCTGCATTTATCTTCCAGAAAGAGGACTCCTCTTCCTTTCTGGATGCTATCAACCCATCAGAGACAGGGGTCTTATTGGCCTGAGAAGATTTAGGGACTTGGACACCAGGTGCTGCTTTAACGGGTTGCCTCTGTTCATTTTGCAACTGAGCACCACTTTGTTCTTGTATGGACAGAGATGCAACGCTGAACTCCATCTGACTCTGTTCAGGATTAAACAAAAACAGTATTTCAAAGCCCTTCACAAAGACACAGTTTTAAACTTCTGATCTTCATGCATATACGTAACACCTTTGCTCACGGCTAGGCAACTCCCAGACAGTAGATACCACAGCAAAGCTAACTTATTTTCTCCATAAATGTCTACCTTTGTAGCTACACAAAAATGGTAATTTTTAAAAGTCTGAACGGCAAGCAAACGTAAGAGCCTTAGACCTGCTGCAGAGGAGTCAGAGAAAGCAATCGTATTTGAGTTACTCAGTGCCATCCAAGACAGCAGTGCATAGCATGCACAGCACTAAAACATCAGAACAGTTGAGGATGCATTTTGAAAGCCACAGACGTTTTATATGAAAACATAAGGCAAAAAAGCTTTACAGTGTAGTTTAAAAGGCAATCTTCCATTATAGTATTTTGAAATAGTTGGCAACGTGTTACAACTCCATCTAATTCCAAGATAAAGGATTAGATGTAATGGGTATGCATAGATAAGTGGTTTTTTCAATTCTAATGCCCCCCTGAAGGAAGAGAAACAACTCCAGCAGGACCAGTTCTTCACTTATTCCAGAGCTTTGTTTTGTTTTTACTTGCAGTACATACAGCTGTATTCATTTCTGAGAGGTAACACTGGGTCAAGGAAGCAAGTGACCACTGTTAAAGCATGATACAGACCTTGCAAAAGCCACCCAAAAGGGACCAGTACTTCAAAATATTCATTTTACTTATCACCACTTCAGTAATCTTGACTGTCAACTAGCTGGACACTCTTTAGGCTAATGAAAGTTAAGCGTTATTTCACTCTGAGGAACACGTAAGCATTACTGTATTTAGGAGCACAGCACCATAGCAAGTCCCAGAAAAGAACAACCTAATGTCTAGCCTTTTGTCTGTAAAATGGAACACACAATGCCAAAAAAAAAAAATAAATTGCATTTACTGTTAAAGTTATGCTGTTGTCATTATGGCCCTGATTATTTTTGGTAAAAAAAATAGAGGACATTTCAAATACTCGCTTTTGCTACAAGCGGTTAATAGACACCTTTGAAGTTCATTACAGATTTGTGATGTTTTTCCTATTCTACTTCATTACCTGGCCTTTCCTGAATAAAACTGCAATAGCATCTATGGGCCTGAATCTAAAGCAAGTCCTAATTGCATATCATTTTCACTAGAAGTGTTTGATCTCGAGTCCTACATTATTGTGCATGTTAAGTTCAAAGGGACTCTAGACCTAGCAGGTCTCGCATGCCCAGTATTTAATATTCAGAAACTTCTCATCAAAGTGCAAATGTTAACTCAACAACTGATTATTTATAAAACTATTTTTTTTAACAGTCAGCAGCTGCCTACACATAATTTGATTCATGGACTAATATCCAGCCTTTCTAAAGAATCAGATACATTAGATATTTTTCCAAGGTGATAGGCAAGGAAGCACCAAGTTCCGTTTTTTCATTAAGAATATACTGTGTTATCAAAAGACGTAGAACATAAAGAAGCTGTAAGTAATTATAGCTCAGCTAGAATATGGTGAGTGCAAGGATACATCCAACTCTTGCCAAACAGCTCCACACCTCACCCTGCCCGCAAAAAACTATGACGAAAAACCTTAGCGCTCCCCCTTTTTTTTTTTAAACAAAAGTCATGACAAAGTTAAGAGCAGGAGATTTTTCCTTAGATAAATTCTGCATAAACAAACTACTGATGCAATGGTGTTGAGGATTATTTACAGTGATTGCCATTCCCTATATTAAAATACAGAGATTTATTTCCCTAAGCTCATTTGGCAATACTACTGAATAGAGATTAACCACCCTGAAGTTAAGATGCTTTAAGACTTCAGAACCGATAAAATCCCAGCTTAAAAAACCCACAACACAATATAAAATAGACCTGCACTTCCGTAATATCCAAGGGAAAAATTAAAAACAAATCCATCTTGGAAGACTGAAGTACCTTGTCACGTAGGAATTAAAAGCGTGCTACTTCCCATCCTTCTATAGTCTTCTTTCTTTTGAGTAGCCTGCCCCAGGGCTCACACTCGAGGTGACAGTAGCTAAAGGCCACCACAGCAGCAGTCAGTTCCAGTAAAATGATTCCTTCCCCCAGCAGCCCCCAACAGGGGGAAGGTCAGTGTCCAGAGGGGCCATCACAGCCCCAGATCCACCAGAATAGTGCTGGAAACAAAACCCAGGAAAAACACTGATGGAAGGGAAGCAGGGGTCTGTTAGAACAAAAATTAGAAAAAGGAAAACCAACGAGATGGTTTTGCCTTTCAACGGCAGCAAGACAGACAAGTAAAGCCAGGCCTCCTGGGAAGTTTTATATGCCGTGGAGCAAAAGCCACTGCCTGTGGTCATGTTCTATGTTCTTTCGTATGGATGCAAATATCAACTCAGAGGTCTGGTTTCGAAGTGGCAGAGCATTTCTAGAGGAGAGAAGAGCGTGGCAATGCAGCACAACTTCAGGCAGTTGTACCCTCTCCAACCCACTCGTGGATGCATCTTCTGGAGAGGATGCCCTCTTTGTCCTTTTAGAACAGAGACCGTGGGGTGCACCTTTCCCTTTCAGAAGGCAGGATCACTCGACATTTAAGATTGCATATTTGTGTCACGGTATGCTTTGGAGATCAAGCAGTTCATAACCTGACACGGAATAATCCAAATGAAAATACTTCTGCAGGATTTTGCTTTCTTCCCTAAGGAAAGCGAAGAAACAAGACTACCCCGACAGGTTCTGAGAGCACTGCGTCTCAGCATGATGTACATACAGCCCTGAGAGGTCAGATGTGTAATTCTGCCTCCAGCATTTAGCTTGAGAAGCCAAGAACTTCTGTGGATCAGTCATAAGCTATTCTATTTTCCCTGAAATATATAATGCTTCTATGTGACTTTCAAGGTTACTTAAGACATCTAAAGCCCTAAGAAATGTAGCTGATGAAAAAAGAATTATTAATATGCAGTGTCTCTCAAGTCACAAAATCGGCAATAAAATACTATAAACACCTTCCCCCTCCGCCCCCAAAAAACCACCAGAGCAGCAGTATAAGTAGGGAGATAATTTCACATAGAGATGGAGAAGACCCATATGCGAAACACCCCATGCTGACATCTAAAGTCATGAGTAGCACTGCATGTTCTAATGAGTCACTAGACACTAGAAATGCAAGTTTAATTGGTGTTCTGTTCTCAATTTCTTACATCAGATTGCAAACTGGCAATTGATTGGGTCTGCAGAAGAGGGAAGAAAATGACAATTAAAAGACCGTTACCCCTCAAAACCCACTTCCTTTTCCTTTAGGTTTGCCAGCCATGACAATATCTTGATGCACATCCCTCCTGGCCCCAGTCAAACCTAGGGTAGCAGCTAGTCAGTAAAGGGCCATATCGCTTTCCTCGGGCAAGATTTGATGGTCAAAAGTGAATTGTCATTTAGGCACTGTTTGGCATTCTAGAGATAGGGTTTCAGTCCCCAGCTGCTTTCATAGATTTTTATACAGCTTTACATGAGCTGCAGTTTCTGTACTTTAATTCCTCATCTACGGAATAAAATAAAAATACTTTCTTTTTCCTACCATTTGTCCAAATTGTATTTCTGGGAACTGTTCAGCTGAGAAGTCTTGAGAGTTTACAGACAGGCTACTACAGTTCCAACTCCAATTTCTAGACGTTACTAGAATTCAAATAAAAGCTATTAATAGCATTAGTATTTTCAAGATATTGCAAAAGCAAGTCATTCTCAACACATTAAGAGAGCGAGGGCGAGGGAGAGTGCACATGAAAGCACACATGAAGTAGTATTTTGAGGCAGAGCAAACCTAGAAGTCTGTGTTCTTTTCAGTCTTATCCCACTGGTCCCAAACCACTGCAAGGGCTGAAATAAAGGATGGCTAGGTCTTGGGTCATCTTCTGTCTATTAAATATAACTAACATTAAAAATCGCAGTTTTTAGGAAGTTACATGTCCATCTTTCCTTAAAAAGACCTTACTTAAAAACACTTAAAAAGTGTTAATGTATTCAGGAATTTTATTTATTGGATTAAAAAATTTAGACCGAACTTCAGTCCCAGGGCAGGATAATCCACCAAATTTTAATACTGACTTTATATACTCATGGGAAACAATGTATTCTAAAACAGAGGCAACAAACACTAAGAATGTTAAGATTTAATAATACTGTATAAAATCATGTCTCAGTTCATAACTCTATATTAAAAACAAGATGACCACAAAGAACCCAGGAGCTTTTTTTTTTTTTTTTGAAGCATCTTATTCACTCATCAGGAATGTGTAGTATTTTACTAAACAGTCAAGCAAACACAGCCAAAACAAATTGTTTTGCTTGGCAGCCTGAAAAATCCAAATTGTTGAGACAAAGACTGCAGAAACATTGTCAAAAGCAACTTGTTTTAAGCATAGCCTGATATATGCAGAGGTAAGAAAGCCAAGTTTAAAATTATTTAGAAGATGACTTTGCTTTGCTGAATGGACAAAACCAAAATAAATACGGGATCCAAAGTAGCTGCAGTTTTTCCTTTGTTTCCTGTGCGCACCGTGGGCGTTTTCAGGATCTTTTTCAGAGTCAGAAAGAAATCCTTAGCTCAGCAGAGACCAATTGCAAGGACAAAAATAGAGCAAAGCACTCAAAAACAACCTAAATAATTTCAGTCCATACAGAAAGACAATGCCGAAGATACATAGCGTGGAGCTTCGGAGGAAATTTTGTGATCTCCTCTTTAGTGATAGGAACAGCATTCTGGTCTGCCACTGTTACTGGTTAGCCTGAGCAAACTCATACTGACAGCATCTGGTACACGCATGGCTTGACGCTCAAAACCAACTGTCTAAAGACTGATGCAGGTAATTCAATCCTTAGCCAAGAACGTCTGGCCATGCAGATTAAAATAAACCTTGAACAGAGCTACTGTTACTGCAAGTTGAGGGTTTCTTGCTCAAGAACCAATAGTCAACATTAGTCTTCCAGCACTGTGTTTTAAACATCTGTAGTCTAGATCAAAAAAGGGAAGGGAAAACCCAAAACCTCAGGCATCACTCTTCTTTCCTTCCAAGGAAGCATTGCCATTTATGCCAGCTTGATAAAAATAATCACATCGAAGCCTAGTTTGTTACAAACAATCCTAATATCACACTGCTAAGGAGGGAGAAAAAATTATTTTCTGCCACTTTCTCCTACTAAAAAAAAAAACCCACCACCCCACAACACAAACCACAAAAACAACTCGGACTTGTACAAAGAAGGATATTGAAGACTGTCTTTTAATTTTAGATAAAGTAAACAATTTGCAAACCACATTTTTTAAGTGCAACTTAATTTTTTTCTTTCTAAATCATTGCTGGGATTAGATCACTTCTGTAGCAATATAATTAGGAAATTCAGATAGGGAGGCAGCAACCAGATTACTGAAGGGATTGAAGCTTGACACTTTCTCCTTTTGCTTTTTTTTGGTTGGTTTGTTTTTAAATATGCCTTGAAGGCTTCCCTTTTCAACAAATCTCTGAGGGCCTGTTGAAAGCAGAGAAGAGCTGAAGGATGGAAAAAGCCAGGATTTAAAAAAAAAAAAAAAAATACAAAAAGGACTCTCTAAAGCTACTTTTGCAATTATTTTACCTGTATCAAGATCAACGAATTTTTAGATGTGCATTTGTCGTTTTAAAGCATTTGGAATAAAACCTATTTTAGTTAATAGCATGAATTAGAAATAGATTCCAATTTATTCCCATGCTGCTCTGTGCATTCAGTGTTAGCTAAGGCGGCAGACTGAAATTATATCTTCTGCCCACTACTAAATTAATTTAAAAAAAAAACAAACAACAAAACACACCAAAACCAGAAAGTTCTGAGTTCAGGAAGACTTGCAGAAAAGTTTTATTTCCAAACCCAGGCATGATTCTTGTTTTCCATTTATATCTCGGGGTTTGTGTTGAGTTTCACTGGATTTTTACTTCAAACAAACCAAGAAACTTCAAAGGCTAAACTCAGCCAAAATGTCAGCTTTCATCTCACTTAAACCTGAAGCCATAAATAGAACGCCCTAAATTTATAAACCTGGCTTTAGCTCCAGTTAAAAATGTAACCCACATTTGAAGACTTTATGTTCATGAGGGCTCCACCCATGAACCAAATCACTCCTTCCAATTCAATCTCTAGTTTTAAAATGTCAGTTTATTTGCAGTGCCATGAGAACTTGTTGCTTCCCAAGTAGTTTTCCTTCCGAGAAGTGCTACAGTTTTCTACTAAAAATATTAGTATTTTAAATGCTGTCTAACAGCTAACTCTGCAATTTACATTGTATTTCTGCTTTGTTTGCCTTGTTTGGGGGTTTAAAAATGAAGAGGTAAGACAAGGACATTAATACACATCAAACAGCTAAAAATGGTGGATATTCAGGTGTTTGCTGTGATACAAATGACTTAAGCCACATTTCACATTTGTGTTTAAAATGAGAACACAAAGTTTACTTTCGAGAGAAGTGAAGTTACCAAGCCCTTCAATAACGTTCTGCCCCAAACGGCAGCAATTTAGTAAACTGTTCTCTGGGTAAGTTTGACAGTCATGGACTTAGGGAATCCATTGTCCATACCTAATCAACTGGGATCACCATTGGCATCACTGTAACAGCTGAGAGGGGCTCCAGCTGGCAGAGAACACGCCCTTCCCTCTTCTCTACTCTTCTTGCTACCCTCTCAGTTTTCCTGAAGTTAGTTACAAATACCGATTTATGTTTATGATAGTTACAGACTGTGTTAGTTACAGACAAATGTTGCTTTATTTTTCTTAGTCTCAATGTTAAAAAAAAAAAAAAGTCTATTGGTTTTATTGATTCGCATCTCTACTTTCCTTTCTCCTTCTCTGCAAAAGCAGAAAGTGAACACCACATTCCCTTCCTTGGGTAAGCCAGAGCACATTCATGCAAAGCTGCAAAAGAACGAAGGAATTTCACCATCACAGCAATAACATGCAAAAAACCCTAAACCAAACCAAAAGCTCTGCATTAAAGAGAGAACAGGGAAAACAATATTATGGAAAGAATAACCTGTCATGGGGTAGAGCTCATGGAAAGAGCCTGACAGCCTGACATAGCAGTGGGAACAGAGCTGGCTCACAAGACACCAAACGTGCATCACAACACGTCAACCTTATTAAACAGCTCATTCAGGTTTATTCACTGTTTCCCCACGCTGGACCAATTGGGCAAGGACACTTTCCTCAGCTGGTACCTCATGGAGAAACTGCCTTCCACTATTACCTTATTAAAGTACTGGTTAGGGAAGAGATCAAAGACTAACTATGAAAGCAAGATCTCCACCTTTATAAATGGAAGACTCAGCAGTTGAAGGATTTGGCTGAAAGATTGACACAATACGAAGCCCTGGGGAAAAACCAAAAGAACCCACACAAATCAACCAACCCACATCCCGTAACGCCAGACAAAATAGATTCTCTAGAGTTTTGCTAAATGAAAAGGTCATGCAATTTTTCAACCTACACCTGAGGCACAGCTTTTATCTCTGGTCAGCAAGGAGGAGTGGGTGAAAGGACGGAAGCACAGCTTGGTTAGCTAGGACAATTATTTCTCAAGCAACGTTCTCCCCACCTCACTTTTTTCCAGCAGTCACAAGAGTGTTCCCATATCATTCTGCAATCCTCCATTCATTACAGAAAAGCAGGAATCTAGAGTATCTATCCACTGTGGTCCCTCACTTTAAGACACCAGGAGAACAGCAAAAATAATCTTGGTCAGCAATAGATAAACCGCAGGCTGGGTTGAAAAACACCTCACTAGACATACAAGCATTTAAAAGAAAACACAATTCTCAGTCAAAGAGAAAATCCATTTGAGTGCAGATGCATCTTATCATGGATCACTGGTCAGTGCATTACATGAAGCACTATCTCCAGGAAGTTCAGGTACTCAGAACTTACAAAATCCTAACAAGACAGAACTTTGAAATACAATTATAGCTGCCATGTTCCCAAAACTGAGTTTTAGGGTTTGCACCAAAACACAGGGGAGAGACAACACCGCTGCCTCCAACATATAATTTCTTTCACCTTATTGTCAATGAGGTCCACACTCTTCTCACTACTTTTCTTTTCTCAACAGTTTCACCCAAGTACACCCATGCTAAAAGCCTCTTTAGCATTCAACGAAAAGCCAGTGGCTGCTTCTTCTAAGGGTCTTGAAAGACAGGAGGGCTTGCCTGGGCTACCAGGCATCCACTGCAGGAAATCTTCCAGTGGGTCCACTGACCCACCACAGCTTATAAGGGAGTTTTAAGATAAGTGAAGAGTGGCAACGGTTTCTCTTAAAACTGCACCACTGTAGGCTGCAGGGACCTAGGAGTTACAGCAAGTTACAGGTTAATCAGCAAAGCACAGATGGGGTGCTAGCTACAGGCAGTGACCTTGAGCAGGGAAGGTTGACAACAAGTCTAGGGTCAACCAGATTAATTTAGTATTCACTGGCATTTCCAAATAATTACTCTGCATTAGGCTAAGATTATATTCATAAGCTCATACATGATTAACTACATATTTCAAGGGCAAAAAAATGGAAGAAACAGGGGAGAAGCAGCTTTCTCTGGCAGATAAAGCCAGAAAACACAAAGCCTGGAACATGTGGTTAAATTAACATGCCCACCATACCCAGGTGAGAAAGGCAATGAGCTGTTTTTGCTCCCAGATTTTCTTCAACAAGAAGAACTAAACTTGATTTCCTACCACAAATAAGGCACAACTACATTTCCTCACACTGTGTGTTCAGAAAGATGGAGAACTCTGGCTCTGTGTTAGCCTTATGAGAATCCCATCACAAATAATGCTTTAACAAGATACCAGAGGTAGAGCAAAGTCAAAAAACTACGACAACAAAAAAAAGCCCCAAAAAACCCCACACAAACAAAACAACCCAAACCCAACCCACCACAGAAAGACATTATTTTTCAAAGGAGCTGCCTTTCAGAGAGGAAATAACACAATGCTTCTAGCATAGCCCTAGGTTGACAAGTTTCATTACATTCTAGTACATAGCAAAAAGATGACGCTTAAGACAGGCTTTAAGAAAGAATCCAATGAAGTTACTAGGTATCCGTACCTTTCTCACCCCATTTCCTAGCTACTTTACTCCTGTCTTCAAAAGTGAAATGCAGCTACGTTTATACCATATCTGAGACACTGGTCTTGCTAAACATGGAAAGTTGTTTAAAAAGTTTACAATAAAAAAAAAATCAAAAAATTTATAATGAATCAATTTTACACCTGCACTTGAATGCAGAACATTAGTTCATTAAATACATTTTGTGTGTCTATTGACATAAATCAAAGCAACACCAGTCCCGTTTCATTTGCAGGATGGTCACTTTACACAGCTCTCATAGAATAAAAGGTGACTAATTAGTCTATCAAGTCTCAAAATGAAGACAATACAGATGCTCAAGGAACAGTATAAAACGACAAAACAACATTAAAAATAAAATTGCGGCATATTTACCTTCGTTTCCCAGGAGAATGGAGCTGAGTGTTCATCTTGCCAAGTTATGTCCTGAAATAAAATTCAAGAATGACTAAAAATCAGAAGAGCAGCTTTACTTGCTCAGAAGCATCATACAGATGACATCACATTGCGGTGCTGGAAGCATAACCACCACTACCACAGAACTTTCTAAAAAGCGAGAGCACTACTTAGAGATGGCACTGATTATGTTTTAAGACTGACTGAAAGCAAGTTCTCTGAGGGGTAGACTATCAATTAGTATACCAATTTAACCTACAAAATATACAAAGGTTTAACCTGGTCTAAATCTCTTGAAATGGTTTCTCTACAAATAGCTTTAAAGCGTGTTTTATTTCCAGTTTTCTACTAGGCATTTTCTTTGGTAGCCACTAGCAACACACAGAAACAACAAGAGCAACAGGGGCCTTAGGGAAAAAGTCTCATTTCCTCCCCTCCGCAGACCAAAGGGCACACGTACAACCAGGCAGCCACATGTCCATCAGGCCAAGCTACAGCTGGGTCCAGCCCCGACAAGACACATCATTACGCCACTTCAATGATGATCAGTCTGAAATAAGTATTCAGCAGTGTTGAAAGAATCACACCATGTCCAGAGTAAAATCCCAATTTATAGAAATACATTTCTCAGACATCTGATAGCATTCTCCTGATCTGCCATCTCTTATTCGTCAACCCCAGGCAGATTTTGCTGGCCATGGGCTATGGAATCACAATTAGAAGTGTCTGAAACCATCTCCTAAACATGAAAATGTGTCATTCTCCAACTACTACTCATCTGTGAAACACAGGGTTTCCAGCAGCAAAGTATTTGTGGTATATATGAGGGTGATCCCATGCTCTTAAAAAGAACTGGGCTGATAGAGAGCATCTAACAGGAAAGGCCTGGGCTCCGCTGGATCACATTCTGGCCAAAAAGGAAATTTGGTACAGGAAATTTTGCCCAAAAGACAAGTGTAATACTAGGTTCTCTCATTCTAGGAAACAGATACTCATATTTATTAATGTTTACGGGAAACAAAGGGAGTAGAAGTCTGCCTTTTAGTATCCATTCTAACTTCCATCAGTGTTTGCACCGTGGAGTGCTGCTGACCACAGGAGAACACCACACCACTCAGGTGGGATGACTCGCAGCAGCTAAGCGTCAAATTATTTCAAAATCATTTTAGGACCCATATCCTTTGCCTCTGAAACTGGTGGAGTTGGCACTTCGTTTCTGAAGCACGTATGACAGGAATCACGGTCCAGGAGGGAAGAGAGACAGGAAAGCCCAGACACTGGACTGAGTCTCACACACAAGGTAGGACCACAACCCTTCTGTCCACATTGGGTCTGGACAAATCAGTACTTGACTTCAACCACAGCAGCAAAGGACAGAATCGAAGTCCAGCAAACAGTGTAACGCTCCTACATGCTGTCACAGCACCTTAAAGCTCCAGACACGAGGGCTTAGCTGTCAGTGGGTTTTACCTAAGGAGTTTAAAGGAAGCTCTGACTTCTTGCCATTTACAGGACACGCAAACCAGCCACGGACCAGTTTTAAATCTGGGAGTGAGTCAAGATCATCCTCATCCTGGATGAGACAGCCAGTTCTTTATTTTCCTGTATTTGAGGCAACTATAGACAGCACTGGGAGGGACACCTCTTCACCCAGCGCTCCCTGCACATCTTCAGCTCAGCGAGGATGACACTGCTGTGAGCGAGCCCTGCTGACAAAAGGCTACCTGAGAGGGATAGAAAAGCAGCACAGGGAAGGCAGAGTGAAGGTAGGAGGTTGTCATGCACCAGGATACATAATTCCGTAGAGGATGTTTTCTCAACCGCCATTGCACTTGTTGGCACCTCAACTTGTAACCTCAGCCTCCAGCTTAGGCCAACAAAAAGCTCCTGAAATGAATTGATGGTCTTTTGGTACCAGTTGTTAAAAAGTTCTTGTCAGAGACAAAAATCTAAGACTTTCATAGATTATGTCAAAAGATGGAATTAGTAGACACTTGTTAGGCAGGAGCAGTTCCCTGAATAATAAGGACCACAGATTTTTCTTCTTAAAATGATGGCTCATTGTATCTCAGGCTGCACAGCCCAGCACACCTCAGAGCCAGTAAGTCTGAGGAGCTTTGCCCACATTTAAGAGATCTTCCATGGGATCTAGCAAAGGATAACATAGGATAAGACATGGTTTGAGGATGCAAAGCTTCAAGAAGTTGATGTCTGTGATTACTTGAAATGTACTTGAAGCTAGGATGAAGGAGACAGTTGTTGGGTTCGGTCCATTGTCAGGGAAGGGAAAAATGTGGCCTCCACCTCTTGTGTCCTCACACAGAGGACACGGAAAGGACCAACCGAGAAGCAGGAGAACACCACAGTTTTGTGTGGACCTGTCCAATGTGCCTGATTCATGTTTACCACCAACAAAACCTGAGAAATAACTTTGCTTTCTGTAGAACGAACAAGTTCTCACGTGCTTGAAGAAAATGGGAGTAAAAGCATCAACTATTTCAATATTCAGAAAAGTAAATTATGAGTGGAAATTCTAGAGAAAAAGGCTTTAAGGCTATGTATCATCAACACAAATTAGAATAGATCCATATCTGATCAGCTTTTGTTTTCAGCATACAACAAAGCCTTCTTCCAGAAAGAAGGCAAATAAATAAACTTTTGTTCACCAGCATTAAAGAAGCTATTTGTAAGAAACAGGGCCTCATGCAACATATTTCATAGCTACCAAAAAAAAAAAAAGAGAGAGAAAGAGAGGCAAAAATACGGTTGTATACTTGACTTCAACAACCAGCTGCAGAAAATATAAAAAAGAATCACAAACTACGTTTGCTATATGTAGGCAGCTTGTTGCAAAACAGCATCTGATTTTCAAAATGGAAAACGCTGCTAGAAACGTGCCAGTGTATCTGACATGAGCATTGCTCAGAGCAGCTGACAGCGACCAGGCAGTCACAAACCCACCAACAAATGCATCTTAGAAGTATTATCAGAACAGGACTTGCTGGTTATTGGGGTTTAACTGCGCTCAAAAGCTGTTCTGCATTTTTCATTTTTTGAAAAGGACAAATCTATGACAGGCCCAACACAAAAGTTATTGCTATGTTGAATATTTCTTGCTTTAAAGCATTTTTAAGCAGGAGATAAAAGGGTCAATCCTTTGGCTTGGTGCCAAAGTTCTTAAGGCTAAGCAAAACAAATACCGTATCTGCTTTCAGGTGGATAAGTGAAGCTTTCCTATTAAAAGATGATGAATGAAGCTAACTGAACTCTCTTACCTGTCTTTCCTCCACACAAAATGTTTGCCACTTCCTAAAGCACATGGCATTTTCTTCAATGAAAAGTTTAGTTATTTCAAGCCCAGTTCTTTGAGCTGCTGAGTACTCAATATCCCTTTAAAATAAATAACTAAAAAAACAGTCAGGCCTTAAATCCACATGTATGTCACACACCTGTGGATAAAGACGGATAGCATTAAGAGAAGAGTGAGAACTTGTTGTAAACGGAATATCTAAACTATCTTTCACTGAAATAAACAGGGAGGATCCAGTGGCATCAACTGACATGAAATCAGATGCTTAACACAAGTTGACCACTACAGTGGTCAAAGGGTGGTAGCCTTTCACACACTGCTGCTTTTCTACCTATTTCCCTCACGATGGCTCATAATTTATGGCCTATTTCAAAACCAGCCCATTTATATTACATTTATACTCAATCCCAGATTCTCCTCTGCTCAGTTAACCTTATTTTTACCACTACAAGCACTAGACATAACTGGAGAAATGCCCGCAACTGGAGGTTTGTTGGGGAAGAGGAAGCTCTGCTTGAAGGTTGCAGCCTCCAAAAGCCCTAAGCCAGAAGGCCTAGGCTGTCTAGACACAGAAAACGATAGTGAAGTGACAAATAGTCTCCTCGTGCTGGGCCCATGTGTGAGGATAGCAAGTCAATCTTCAGCAAACAGGACAAAACTTCTTCCATGGGGGTGTTAAATGACCCTATTAGCCTAGAAGAGATGAAAAATATACGCATGACTGAGACCACACAACTCTAGAAAACAGGATAAGATAGACAGGCAAGAGATGTTGGGTTTCACTAGGAGGTGGTGTTGGAAAATACCAAGGCCTGCAATCCCATCAGGGTTATTGAGCTGGTGTATTCCAGGGTCTGTTTCAACTGGGAAGTCTTGACACCGTGAGGTTGACGGTGGACACGTAACATATTAACACTCACGTGCATCCTCACCATGACAGTGTGGTACACACTGGTAGATGCCAAGTGAACCAGGTGCCACCCAACCCAACTCTGTGCTGGAGAGAGAAATGCTGTTTGGGGAATCAGGAAGCCCGATTCCCGTACTTCCACTTCTTTCATCGAGCTTTTCGAGACTTTTTAAAATACCTTCAGTTCTTTGACAGCAAGGTGGGAGATTAAAAAAGCAGCTCTGGCGTCCTGGCACCCATCCTCTTAAGGAACTGCATTCACAGTGCACGTACATCTTCAGTTACTAACTCCACGACTGGCAATACCACAAAGAGGATAAGATAATGGAAGAGAAGGAGCAGTGCCACTCAGCTGGCTCCAGGCATTTGCTAAGAGTCACACATGGTGCTGCAGTGCTCCAGCACTACAAAATGACTGGATCACGGGTACAGGGTGCCACGGTCCTGTTACTGCACATCTATTTTCCATCACGGCCTTCCCACACAGCCAACACGCTGAAAGGTGTTTTGAAAAAATGTAAGAGATGCTTATACTTTGAGAATTTACAGTCCTGGGCTACCAGTCCAGGAGATGAGTTTGGTGTTAGAAAAGATATATGGGAAACAGTGAGGGTGAGAAAAGGGGAACCTGTTGTCCAGAGATACAAGACCACTACATATATCCTCTGGATCACCTTATCAAAGTGGTCACATGCATGAAAGTGGGACTGAAATGGTGGGAGTCCTGGATGGGTAAATCAGTATCTTCAGCATTGATCCTTGTTTTGCTTTCTCCCAAGTCCTCCAAAGAACACAAGGTGAAAG